TCACCATGCCATTAGCACCTGGGAGGGCTGGTGGGTAAGGAGCTCATAGTCTGAGTTCCCCTTAGTCAGCTGTAGGGCCCCAAAAGGGAAGGTCCCATTCCCTGGAGGTGCCTCTGGCTGGTGGCTATATTGTCTCTTTGGGCAGCCGTGGGTAGGGTCGGGGGAGGGGAGAGGGAGGCAATATGGCGCCTGCCATGTGGCTTGGGTTTATGCACATGGAGGTGCCCTGTGGGATTTGGGAGCCTAGTGCTGCGTCCGCTACAGACTTACTGCTCACTGGCAGCGGCCGTCTCTGGGCTGGTGTCCACAAGTCTCTCCACCCACTGGGGAGCCCCCCAGCAGTCCCAGATGCAGGGGAGGGGAAACTTGGTCCAGCCACCTACCCTTCCCGCTGGTCTCCGGGATGCTCTGGAGGTCTCTGCTTCCAGTCTCCTCTGCAGCCTCCTCCCGTGGAGTCTCTCGTGGTCTCAGGTACCCCTCTTTCCGTCCCTCGTCCGCTAAAGGCTTGTCTTCTTGCTTCTTTTTTCTAATTTCTGCTAGAATCTGTCTTTTCTGCAGAGACACTCTGTCTGGCGGTGTTTCTTGTCCGCCATCTTGATTCCCTCCCCACCCCACATTTTAATGCCTTGACATTTGTCATCTATATGAGCTAAAACTGTTAAGGTGATAAGCAAAATATTACCGTAGTTGGTGAGAGCTCTAACTTTAAAATGTCAGTGCAGTTTCAGGCTACATTTCCCTGTATCTGTTTTGCAGGAACAAGAGTTTGAAAGCTAGAATCTAAAATACTGATAACAATGTATGATAGAAATGCTCAACATCATTAACCATCAGGGAAGTGCAAATAAAAACCATTGTGAGATGTCATGTCACCCCCGCTAGGATGGCTTGTATCAGTAAGAAAAAGTAACACATGCTGGCAAGGATGTGGAGAAAAGGAACTCTTACGCATTGTTGAGAATGTAAATTAGTGCAGCCGCCATGAAGAACACTATGGAGGTTTCTCAAAAAACTCTGGATATACACCCAAAAGAAAGGAAATCAGTGTGTCAAAGAGATCTCTGCACCCCCGTGTTTATTGTAGCATTATTCATTGCAGTCAAAATATGGAATCAACCTGAGTGTCCTTCAATGGAAGAAGGGATAAAAGAATTGTGGTATAGATATTTCCGCAAACCTAACATGCCAAACGGGAGCGCCTGACTACGATTCCCCAACGGTCCAGGTCTCAGTCGACGGCAACTCCATCCTTCCAGTTTTCTGGCCAAACTCTGGAGTCGTATTTGACCCCTTCCCAGCCCACAGTCGACACATGCACAGCCGGCGCATTATCCCGACTACAGCGTCCGCCGCAGCTGCACACGGCAGTGAGCAGCGCCGCTCCCACAGCGCGCTCGGCTCGCAGCCAGCCGGGCGCTTCACACCCAGGCCCCGAGTCAAGTCACGTCCCTCTCTGAAAAACCCACCATCGTCCCCAGCTTTTCTCAGAATAAAAGCCAAAGCGATTTCGATGACCTCTAAGACCACTTCGGTACTTTTCTGTTCTCTCCTCCTACGCCTCCCGTGCTCGCTCCCTTCAAGCCTCCTCAGGCTCCTTCCTGCTCCTCCAAGTCAGTGTTTTCCAGCCTTTCCTTGTCACCCCGCCAGGGGCAAGACATTTTAACACCACAGTTATACCATGTAGGTTTCTCTCCTGCATCCTTAACATATCTGTGTCATACGCATTTTAAAAACGGGTTTTTTCATCCTCCAAGCATAATCTTCCCCCCCTTGGGACGACGTCTCCCTGCGGGCGCGGTGCGGGCTGTGCGGGAGCCCCTCGCGCTCGCCCGCGCTCTGTGCGCAGTGCGCCCCCCGCACGCGCCGCCCTCCCGCCTCCCGCCCTCGCCCAGACGGCCACCGGCTCAGCGAGGCGGCCTCTGGTCACTCCAACTCACTCAGGACCGTTATCCTCGTCCCAGCTGCGTTCTTCCCCACAGCACCTGTCACCCTCTGGAACCTCCACGCGTCACTCAGCACTTCTTTGCTGAGTGTCTCCGTCCATGGGAATGCCAGATCCAGGCGATCTTTACGGTCACTTCCGTATCCGGCACCCAGCCCCCGCACGTGGCTCGTGCGCCATCCGTGTTTGCCGAGTGCGCGCCCGCACGTGCTCGCGCCTTCCTGCCTTCACCTGCATGGCTCCATTTGCCGGAGTGTCCTTGCTTCTCCTTTCTGATCTATCAAGTCCTGTTCTTGCTTGGCCCAAGTCAAGTACCAGCTTCTTGCTGGCCCCTTTCCTGGTTTTATGTCCTCAAGAATATTGTAAAGTTCTTATGCACCACATTCTTGGTGGGCGTCATGGAATCAGAATTAGTTATTGAAGACTAAAGTTCTTTTTTCCTTGGCCTGATCTGCCTTAAAACTCTTCAGGAACCTCCCTAGGCACTCACTAGTTGCTGAGTTATTCCTGAAACTGTGTATGTTCACATACTGTTGGAGAACTGAGGGGCTTCTTATTTGGATGAGTGGGCACCAAGAAAGGACAAAAAGCCATTTGGCACTTAGGCAGATTAACACTGTTCAAGTACGCTTTGGGTAGATTCTGTTGGACTTGCGCTACTAGAAGTAAAGAAATTTTTTTGTTTTGTTTTGTTTTTTTATGGGTTTTTATTGCATTAGATCATGTTGTTTTAACCCAAGAACCTCAGAAGTGCAAAGTAAACTGGAAGATTCAATCAAACAAAAAAAAGAAGGCATGCTTAAACTGAGTTGTAGTTGGTGGAGCCACAATGCTAAAGTTCAAGTTGACGTTTCAGCCTGAGCTCATGATGTAGTCGGTGAGGAGCTCAAGGCAGGAAGGAGGAGGCGAGAGGGTATCACGCTTCAACACATATGTTGTGGCTTTTGTTCCTTTAAAAGAAGATGAACCTTGTGATAACCTAACTCTAGTGTTTATTCATTTTTTGTGTGTGTTCAAGGGTCAGTTCTGGGCAGGGCAGCAAATGTCCATATATTTTTCCAAATAGACCATTCGTTGTGTGGGTCTCGTCCTGGGAAACAGAGGTGCACTAGGTGCGATTGCCTCCTCTGTGCCCTCTCACTGAGCCAGTGCTGCTGGCTGGAGTGGGGGGACGGCTGTCCAGTGGCAGGGCGGGGGCCTGTAGCCCAGTGGCCCTGCCTCCTAGATGCTGCTACCATTTGGCATCATCTCCATGTTGTTTGCCAGCAACGCGGGGAACATGAGCCGAGGGGTCTGGAACATCTTGATTTAAAGAGTATCATTAAGCCAGATGTGGTGGTGTTCTCTTGTAGACCCAGCTACTTGGGAGGCTGAAGCATGAGGATTGCTTGAGCCCAGGAGTTCGAGTCCAGCCTGGGCAACATAGAGAGACACTGCCTCTGTTAAAAAAAAAAAAAAAAAAGTAAGAGTACCTAATGTTAAAATGTTTCTCATGGAAGGAACCATGCACCAGCTATGTATCCGTATTTGGAGAGCTGACATTTCAAAGGCAACCATGGTAGACTGAGGCACAACTGTGAGAAGGAGAACTATGTGTTCAGCATCTTCCTGGTGGATCCTCCTTTGTCCTCTTTCTCCTGTTCATGCTTCCTCTCAGTCACCAGTCCTGTAGAGTACCGGTAACTGCTCTTTGCACTTACAAAGTGGGTTTTCATCTGATGGTTTATTGAATCCTCATGACTGCTGAGGGTGGGAATCACGGCACCCTCTCTGTTTGATAGAAGAAAAACCTGGGGGGCTGGAGGACACACGGGCGCAGGGAAAACATGCCAGCATCACTTCCCAAGTCACATAACCTGGGCAACATGCATCTTCTAGACAGGAGCCTCAGTTTCCGCGGTTTTCCCTCGCCAGGTACCCAGAATACTCAGGACGGCCAAGTGTTCGGAGGGCTTTCTCTGCAATAGGCCTCGCGCTAGGGCTTGACATGTAACGTCTCGTTTTCTTTTCCTCCCAGTAACCTGGTGATACCGTTACTTTATTCCAAGTTTAGAAATGGGAAAATGGAGGCTTAGGAAGAATTTAAAGACTTCGAGACCAAGTGTATACAAAATAAACAGCTTGGTGAAATTCCCTGTTTTTTTTTTTATAAAAGGACTTCAGGAGTCACAGACATACTCACGGCCTTGCCAGACTTCAAGTGGAGCTGAGTCCAGGGCTATGCCCTCCCCACCCTGGCCCACTGCGTCCGGGGTCCCAGGGAGCAGCGCCGCAGGTGGGCGCGGGCAGCGGCTGCCGGCAGGGAAGCACCGCCCGGGCGTCGGAGCAAGAGCCATCCGAAAGCCAGTGTGGGCCCATCGCCGGCGTGCGTCGGAAGCGGCGTGGCGTGCGTCGAAAGCCGGCGTGGCGGGCGTCGGAAGCCGGCGTGGCGGGCGTCGGAAGCCGGCGTGGCGTGCGTCGGAAGCCGGCGTGGCGTGCGTCGGAAAAGGCGTGGCGTGCGTCGGAAGCCGGCGTGGCGTGCGCCGAAGCCGGCGCCATCACTGAAGAGGGGCCCTAACTTCCACCAGAGCCCGGCAGCCAGATCTCAGCAAGAAGGGAGTTGGCGGAGCCAGGAAGAATCCCAACCAGGAATATATCAAAGGAGAACCCAGTGGAGTGCTCCGGAAGGCTCTCCAGCAGTGTGCCAAAACCCACTGTCACCTCGCGAAGGACTGGGGAAGTCCGGGTGTGCCGTCCGGCCCTGGGCCTGCGTCAGCGCAGCGTCGCCCTTGCCCTGCGTGGCCGCTGCTGCCCTTCGGGCCGTCTCTGTCCAGCTGGTGCTGGAGACTAACAAGCCCGCTTCCGCGCTGACCAGAGCGCCCGAGGCCACAGTATTTTCGCTTTCCCCTCTCCTTAGATTCTCGTCGCAGGGAAAGAGGCCTGGGTGGATGGGGTTTTAATTGCAAGACCAGAACCGGCTGTCTCAGTACCTTGTGTCTTGGGGGAGTCCCACTGGTCAGGACTGGCCCCCGACACCCCCACCGCCACCGGCACCTAGGAGGGGTGCAGGACCCTGCCGGGGGGGACAATCGCAGGTGAACGAACACCATTTTTCAGTCTCCTTTCCAAAGCACCTATTCCAACATCAGTGTTTCACAACATGACAAGCACAGGTAAGTCGTTCTACAACAGTCTAGTTAAGGTGACAGGTGTGTGTGTGTGTTCCTTTATCCTAATAAACAAGCCCAATTCCCTTTGGCCAAACTGCAGTGTTCAACAGCAGCCTCCTCACAGGCGGCGCTCTCTGGAGGGACAATGGACACGTCGCCTAAGTAACGGTACTTGAGAAGTTTGTTAACAGTTGATGCGGAAGAGGTAAGTGCAGAGGAGAATGCCCTCATTCTACCCGTTTGCACTTATCACTTTATCTTGACTGTCTGGCAAATATATCCAAGACTTGCTGTTAATTGTATTGACTGCAGACAGAAAGGAATCAAAGTGATCAGAGATTTGAAAAATCAAAACCAAGTATCAAAATTTATCTTTTGACAATCCTATCCAGAGAGGCCTTCTCTAGTAAATAGGGCAGAGCAGAAAAGTTATTTGATGCCACTGATGACAATGACTGAAATACAGTGCAAATTGATTCACCGTTCACTAGACTTTGCCAAGGCCACACTCTAATACAGGAGCAAGGGTTTCCAGCTCAGTTTTCTGATGCATCTGACAATTGAACCACAGAAAAGTGACCTTTTGAATCTGAATTAGCACCTCAAAGAAGTAATTATTTGGTTAGAAACAGCGCCCCAATAACCCAGAAGAGTAGACTGAAGGGCAGCTTGGTTAAGTATGGAGAACACAGAAGATTCAAAGGACCTAAGTGAGTTCTAGGGCCTCAGCCCACTTCTACGTACCTGCGCAACAGTGATCACAGACTTCACCACTTGGGGCTGCAGTGTGTTCCTCCCAGAAAGAAGATATCTTCACTATCCTACCATAGGATTGTCGGGAACACCAAATGAAGTTAAGCAAATCCCTCTAAAAACGATACAGCACTCTGTAAATATTAGATATCATTGTCTACTTCCCCATAAGACTAACCACAGGAAACAGGGTATTTCAGACTCTGTTGGCAGGTACAGGTTTAGGTGTCTGCCTTTAGGAGCCTTCTTGGTGCTGGCAGAGCCGGTTTATGACCTCTGGGTGTGTCTTGTGGCGACAGGAGGGTACTTGGTGCCTCCTGTATCACTCTAGGCCAAAGGTTCTCAAAGTGTGGTCCCCGGACAACAGCGCCAGCATCACCTGGGAACTTAAAAGCAATGCAGATTCTCAGGCCATGCCTCGGGCCTACTAAATCAAAAACTCTGGGGCTGGGGCCCGTGAATCTGTTTTAACAAGCCCTCCAGAGGATTCTGATGCATGCTGAGGTTTGACTGACCCAGGTCTTTGGAGCCTCTGCAGGAACTAAGAACAAGGGCCCCACTTTAGTAGCTTGTTTTTCATCCTATACCATGTGAGCAAACAGCACAAAGGAGGCTTAGTATTCTAAAGCCAGGAGGGACTTGAGGAGCCATTCTCGGGTCGGTTTACTGAGGATTCTGCAACCCAGGGGGCTAAGCGAGGTCTGACCCTAAGCCAGGCCAAGAGCTGGTGTCAAGGTGACTCTCAGTCCAGGGGCTTTCCTGTTATGTGCAACTGCCTCTCTTGCATCCAGAGCCAAAGTGCTGTCCAGCTCCTACTTCAAGAAGGCAGTAGAGTCTAGGAGCATATCAGGTTAAGAAGCTGGGTTTGGATAGACCCACTTCTAGCCCAGAGGACAGAACTCCAGGGGAAGTCGTAGCTACCTTCCTTGTTCTTGGTCTAGAAGACAAAGTTATCTCTAGGTTCTCCATGGTTGGTGTGTCTCCCACCCATCCTCCTAGAAATGGAGCCAGCTATGGACTGCAGAGGGCCCGGGTGTCCTGTCTATGGAAGCCACTTCCCGATGGGCGTGCGGACCCTAGTTGATGTGAAGGCTGAGGTTCCTAGTTCCTCTCATTACATACCTGGTAAGAACTGATGGTCAGCACTGGGCATTTCCCACAGAGCATTTTGCCACTGGAGAAGGCCGAGCTTGGAGCAGAAGGAGCCTGCAAACAAAATCAAGCATCAGGGAAACCAGTCACTGCAGCTACTTCGGCAGGCTGGTTCCTGCAACCGAAAGCTGACATCCAAGAGTGACCTAAAACTCATTTCTAGAAATCCTCACTGTGGGCTCCATGGAGCTGAGCGAGGTGTGGAGTGGCAGTGCTCGAATCAGCTCACAAACATCCCTTGTTCTTGGCTGTCAGAAACTCTCCTTTCCCTTATTTGCTCTTCTTATCTCTTCTCACAATTTCTTGCCACCTCCTGTTCAAGGAGAGGCCAAGCTCGATGTGCGGATGAAGGCCACGGCCCTTCCCAGCTTCCTGGGCTGGAGATGGAAGGCCGGGCTTGCAGAGCAGCTGGTGGGAGCCTGCGGGAGCCATTTAACCTGCTCTGTTTCCTCAGCTGTAGAGGCAGATGGATGTGATCGTCTCTGTGATTTATTATAATATAATTTACACAGTGGCTGATGCGGGCTCACATAACTCTTAGTGCACAGATGAACTATAATATTTGATTAATTTGACCAGTATAGACTGGCAATTAATGAAGAGTTGGAGGCTGAATTTTCCTGGGAGTCTCTCAGCTTTGAATTTGAACTGGATAAAAGTCACATGTTCACGTCAATACAATGCTGGCCTGCTCAGGTTAGGGAGAAAAATTCAGTCACCCATTGTATGCTGTTATGTGGATCAGGAAAGAGGATCTTTGCTTAATTCAACTTTGGAGGCTTCCTGTTTGTTTGCTTTTTAAAGTCTAAGTCGGTCAAAACAGTTTGTGGATTTGTAGGAACAATGCACATGTTTAGATCTTAGAGATGAGGGCCGATGGCTTATGTGCTCAGTGAGCACATTTCCATTCAGAAACATGAAAGACCAGCTGACACCTGTAATCCCAGCACTTTGGGAGGCTGAGGTGGGAGGACTGCTTGAGGCCAGGAATTTGAGACCAGCCTGGGCAACTTAGTGAGACCCCCATCTGTAAAAATAAATAAATAAATAAAAATTAGCAAGGCGTGCTGGCACATGCCTGTAGTCCCAGCTACTTGGGAGGCTGAAGCAGGAGGATCACTTGAGCCCAGGAATTTGAGGCTGCAGTTAGTTATGATTGGGTCACTGCACTCCAACCTGGGTGGCAAAGACAGATCTTATCCCTACAAACCAAACCAAACCAAACCAAACAAATAAGAAACCAAAAAAAAAAAAAAAAAGGAATGAGCCAAGGTCATCCAAAATATAAAGTCCCCCTTTCTGGTGGGTGACACACACATACACAAGGGTGTTTTATTGAGGACAATGGTCAGTGTTGGCCTCCGTAGCACGCACTGACCCTGTTGTGGTCCTGTCTCTTTTATGCACAGAGAGAATCTTGCCTGTTTTTTTCTGAAGCCCTAAAAAGATTGTGGGAACAGGGCTCACAGTCCTCTTTTACTGACGTCATTGCATGACATGGAGACAGCCACTAAAATAAGGAATCTAAATATTCCCTAAGATGACCTTGCGTCTCGGATCAACAGCAAACAGCAGCTACTGCGCCTTCCCAGCCGGGCGCTGCTCCCGTCTCACCACAAGGGGGCGAGAGAGACACGCGACAGCGCCGGCCCTCCGAGCCAGGGGCCCACTCCCCAAAGGAGACCGCTCGCGGGCTGCCTTAGGAAGGCATTGCATTCTCTGGACAATAAAAGTGATAATAGATGCCAACGTTTCAGATCTTGGTTTGGGGGGAGGGGAGGTTTGTTTGTTTGTTTGTTTGTTTTCCTCCCAACCTTTCCGTGCATGAAACATGATTATTCTGCAGAGAATGAACACATTATTTTAAATAACTTGAACGGATGCCGTGTAAGAATCCAAACGCGATAAAAGTTTGAGGATTTGGAGCAGAAGCTCTATTCTTAGCACTGCTGCTCTTGCTCCAGGGCTGTGGACGTGCAGGACATTTGGGGAGGCTCAGGGGAGGACAGAGCTGTCAAGAGGAGGAAAGCCACTAGGCTGGGTCACGGCGATGCTGGTCCTGGTGCTGGTCCTGGTGCTGGAGGGTCCAGCTCTAGAAGCAGCTCAAGAGGGACTTACAAGGAGCGATGTTAGCAACAGCTGGGAAAATAAACTATAACTGTGCCCTGAAGGAAGAGATTGGACCTGCTTGGGTCTTCCCTCCTTTTCCTCCTTCTCTCTCCCTCCTACGTTCTCTGCCTTTTGTCTGGAATTATGCCATGATATGAAGTGACTTACCGGGAAGGTTGGTAGAGCCTGCCAGGCATGATTTGCCTTTATTCCCACAGAAAGTTACATCTGTCCAGTTGTTGACTGAAAGTAAATGGACCCGAGGCGTTGATTTTGCACTGGTCAGAAAAGAGAGCAGGACGTGCCTTTGGGCCACATGAGGTTCCGGTTGGGGAGAATCCGTATCAGTTTAAAACGGCCCTCGAACGTGAGTTCAGGTCCTGGGTACAGCTGCCTTCTGTTGCAGCCGGCCCTCTAGCTGCTGCGCGGGGGCCAGGCCTCCGAGGTCGGGAAGGGCTGGGTTCCAGGACAGTGACGGGCCCACCCTGTGCTTTTCTTGTGCATTAGAAAAGTTGGGGTGCCTCTCCGGCAGTTGCAGCCAGTACGAGGGTGCATGGCCCGCCCTGAAGTGGGAGCCGCACGTCCGTCCCCATTCTTCCTTGCAGCTATGCATCTTCCATCTTGAACGGCTCAGAAGCCCGAGTTGTCACTTAGGCCCTTACTCCTTAAATGAGAGCCAGTACTGAGTGTCTTCCCTAGGTCGGGAAGCTTGCACGGTGGTACCATCTCTGATCTTAAAGACGATAACTGGAAGCTGTAGCTGTAAGGACAGCATCTTGGCATGGAAAAGACTTGAAAGGATCACCTGGTCCTACAACAGTTCCTGCGTCTCTCCGACTTCCTCTGCTGCTGGGCAGCCTGCGCTCTAGAAGCTTCTCCTGTCGTCTCCAGACAGCATTGACTGCCGGACTCCTTCCTGACCAACGAGGTCCTTCCTTTCTACCCGTCGTTTAAACGTGGTATGAAGTGCCTTTACCAACTCGATCACTCTACTTCATCAAAGACCTTTCTAAGGCGCCACGCTCTCCACAGGTCCGACTTTCTAGAACGGTCTGCCGACCCAGGAGAGCGCGCGCTCTCGCGCTGCACTTCCAACCTGTGTCTTTATTCACACCTGCTATTCAGGGACAGAGCTCCTGAAAGAGACGTGGGCTCATGTGGCTGCTTTTTAAAGGCTTTCTTAAAGCATTTCTTGAAAAGCAGTAAGTCCACTTTGCATGCCGTGACGGAGAAGCTAGTGCCACTTGCTGTCCGAGCCCTCGCTTGATTTCGGAGGCTCCTTCACAGAGCCCGGAGGGGTCAGAGTCGTTCTGCTAGCCGAATTCCACGGGGGACGAAACGGTTCTAGAGAGGGCTAGCGCTCGGCCGAAGTCACACGCTGGTGACTGCGGGCCTGGGCGCCACGTCCTGCACCTGCGCGGCCACAGACCTCCCGGCCCCACCCTCCCCCTCCCCCCCTCCCCCTCGCTGTCGCCCCGCCCCTCCCGCCCGCCTCCCTCCCTCGTGTCGCCCGCCTCCCGCCCGCCCGCCCCTCCTCGCTGTCGCCGCCTCGGCCCCGCCGCCCTCCCCTCGCTGTCGCCCGCCCCCGCCCCGCCCCCCTCCCCTCGCTGTCGCCCGCCTCCCGGCCGCCGCGCCCCTCCCCCTCGCTGTCGCCGCCTCCCGGCCCCGCCCTCCCCTCCCTCGCTGTCGCCCGCCTCCCGGCCCGCCGCCCCTCCCCTCGCCGTCGCCCGCCCTCCCGGCGCCGCCCCCCGCCGTGGACGCGGTTGCTGTCCCGCAGGCCCAGCTCAGGCGCCCGCACCCGCACCCGACCGCGCGGGCCCGGGCCGCGCTCCGAGGGGCCGGTCGGCGTGCGCCTCGCACACGGGAGTCCTCGGGCGCCGGCAGAACGTGGAGGCTGGAGCGCGTCTCCCAGAGCCGTCCCCGCCTGCGGAGGGGCTGTCCCGCCGCCCAGTCCCTCCTCCGCCCCCGGCGCTCGCTGGGCGGTGGCGCAAAGAGGTCTTGCGCCGCGAAAGCTTTGGCGGGCTTTGAAACCGCCATCCGAGGAAACTGACCGCGCAGCTCTTTCCTCCGCGCGTCTGCGCCCGTCGGGCGAGCACCTGCTTCCAGAGGAGCGGCGGGCGCCGCGAGCGGCTCCGGGGCCCCGGTGGCGGCTCCACCGGCGTGCGGAGGAGCGGCGGGCGCCGCGAGCGGCTCCGGGGCCCCGGGGGCGGCTCCAGGGCCGGGCGGGTGGCTCCAGGGCCCCGGGGGCGGCTCCAGGGCCGGGCGGGTGGCTCCAGGGCCGGGCGGGCGGCTCCAGGGCCCCGGGGGCGGCTCCAGGGCCGGGCGGGTGGCTCCAGGGCCGGGCGGGCGGCTCCAGGGTCCCGGGGGCGGCTCCAGGGTCCCGGGGGCGGCTCCAGGGCCGAGCGGGTGGCTCCAGGGCCCCGGGGGCGGCTCCAGGGCCCGCGCCCCGCTCTCACGCCTCGCGAAAGCGGCCGGCGCCTGGGAAGGCGGGCAGAGGCAAGCGCTTTGAAGGCAGCAGCCCCTTCGGCAGTCGTTTTGATCGCCCATAAAACAGGAGTGCGACTGGTGGGTGCAGTCCATGGCAAGTACACCCCCAATTAATCAGAATTTTATTGGGAAGTGCTTCCGGTTGGAGGCGGGGACGCAGCATCGGATTCCTGCGAGAAGCGCGCCGAAGGGCAGATGCCGCCCCGTCGGAGGACTCCTGCCCCGGGCGGGCGGCGGGCGGCGCTCCCCGCGCCCCGAGGACGGCGAGAGCCACGAGAACCACGGCCTTCGCGAGCTGCCACCTTCCTGCGTGAGGGGAGCCCCCTCCACTTGGTCCCGGCTGATTGCTGGGCTGTCACCAGTCACGGGAGCAGACCTTCCCTGGCAAGACCCTGCGGTGTTAGATGCCACCGCGCAGCCCAGGCCAGAGGCCGGCTTGGCGGTGACATTATTAGCGCCGCAAATCTTCAGCTCCAGAGAGAAGAAAATCCTGAAACCACGTGGAAGTCCTGACGCTATCCTAAATGTATTCCGATGATGAAAAGTAAATTTGAGTCAACTCTTTGCTTCTAAGAAAAATCATGTAACGTTTCTACAGAAACGTTATCAAAACCTACGCAGTGATCTCCTGTGACTCAAGTGGCAATCTCTGAGGCAAATAGGCCACCCACCACTGCTGTTCTATCTTTTTATGGGAGAGGAAACTGAGGCACAGAGGTGTCCATTGATTTGCTCCTAAAAATCACATTGAGTGATGCAGCGTGGGTACACATGTAGTCTTCAGCTTCCTATTTAAGTGTCATTTCTTCCTCTGCTAAATTATATCTTTTCCATTCCAGATTCACTCATTGACATCAATTCATTCAAAATAAAACCTTTCTGGGACTACAATGTGAAAGGCATTGAAGGGAATAGAAAGAAAGATAGAGATGTTTTCTCACCATTGAAGGGGTTTAGCATCTCCTTGAGAAGCCAGAAAGAAAAGGAAAGTTAAGTAACCATGTAGACAATGCTGCTTCTTCAGAGAATTCTTTTTATACGCTCCTGTGATTTTATGAGGAGCAGCTAAGTGCTATGAGGTAGAGCAAAGAGAACGGAACTGCAAGGAAGCACGCGGCTACTTTGGCGTTTTGATTGCAAAGCTGATGAATTCGGCTCAGGTTTTTCCCACAGGTCGACCAGCGCCTGGTCTGCTCACAGACACGCAGGCGCGGCGCCCCACACCCCAGCTAAACTGTATGTGTGGGAACGGCCTGTGTCCAGCCCAAAACTCATCTTTCTCAAGAAACTGATAAAAAGCTCTTTTAGTTACCACAATCAACTAAAAAGATAGGACATTCCAGACTGTTGTACATTAAAAATAAAGTCCAGACTCTCAGGAGAGGTTCTGAGTCTCTAGTCTGTACAAGATGGGATGTCTTTAATGGGTTATGTTAAGTTTATTTTAGATGATAACAAACACTCAAGTGATAAACTCACACAAAATTAATAACTTGGAGACACGATCTTAATTCTACTCACGGATCTTTTCCTTATAGGTGAGTTAGCTTTGTGTGTGCGTGACCAGCTACAGGGCTGGCCTGCCCACACCGTCTTCTGTGCGGTCTTTCTGGCCCACGGCCTTGCTGAGACCCTCCCCTTGCTGAAGACACCAGACACTGGGTATTTGGACATGGTCCCTCCATAAGCTGAGCAGCAGCTATGTGGCTTGAGCGTCAGAGTCACCTTAAGAATCGGGGATTGGGAACCGGAAAGGTTGAGAAAGCTTGCAGTGGTGGCAGAAGGCAAAACCATCTCTTGAGCAGTGGCTTTGTTTAGGGGCTTACAATTGGATAGAGGCAAGCAGAAGCTATGAGAGAGCAAAACTATAAATAAGAAAAAGACGGCAGCCTGCGGGAAGAGAGGTGATAAGGAAACAACCTTGAGAAAAAGAGACCCCAGTTTTCTGGTTTCCAGCTCTAGGGCGGCTGGCCTTCTGGGATGATAAGTGATGCTTATAGATCACCAACTAGTTGTATCTTTACAATAAGCCTATTGTGTCCACACAACAAACCTTTCCTAAATTAACTAATCTTTAGTGGGTCTCTCTTGCTTTTAAGTAAACAAGTTGACCAACAATGTATTATAAATGTTTTAAATG